TTGGTGCCATGATAACTTTTTCGGACATAAAAAACAGCGAAGATAAAGTTGCCGCAGTTGCAGTCTGGTTCGCTGCAGATGATGGGGTGTGTCAGTACGGCTGCCTTTGGCGCGGGTCAAACCCGTTTTCCGCCATTGTCGTAGCGAGTCAATGGCAACAGTGGTGGAAAACGACTGATACGAACGTATGATACAGCCTTGCCGCTTCCTCGCTTCGACAACTGGCAGAAAACGGGTTTGCTGCCGCGACAGACGCAACCGTACTGACACGCCCTATCATCCGCAGCGAGCCAGACTGTAATACATCACTCCATCAATTCATCGCGCCTGAGTCTAGAACCTCTTACTCAAACTCGGATAGAGGCAGGGATCGGTTGCGCTGGGCTGGATCGTATACACATAAGCTGCGTTCATACTTTCGTCAGCGTAGACCAGCGCTCACTTGCATTTCGACCGTTTGCCATCGCCAGCGACCGGAAAAGTATAGATATCGATCTAGCGAACGCCAGCGTCTACCAGCGTCCGCTAGCGTCCACAAGCGTTTCCCCGGGCACTTTTGAACTGCCCGCGAAACGCTAATGTACGCTGGCGTTCGCTTGTTGATATCCATACTTTCTTAGTCACTGGTGGACGCTGAAGCAAAGTATGAAGACAGCCACAGCGATGCAGCGTTATTACCTTTCTCCCACTGACCTTCTTGAATACTTTATTTGACATGGTTTGAATTAGATCTGAGGGAAGATAAGCGCAGGGTATATAAAACTACTTATTTATTTGTTGAGCCTACATTCTGTGTGCATGTCAAAGAACATGTGAGTGAAATGATTAGGGTAAGAGGAATCTGAATGTCAAGGATTCGGAAAAATCGCGGCGTTCCAAATGGGATGCAATCCCTCATGTCTTTGACTGCTATTTTTTCCTGATGCATTTATTTAGCCACCCACAAAGGCGTTCAACACGTGGCGAAAAATGGATTGCCATGATGAATGCATAATGAAGGGCCATGATGGGACAATTTCACAACATTCCACTTTTCGTTCTGATCGAAATTTTGCAGTGGTCGCTCCAAAAGTGATACGTTTTGAAATTGTATAGATTATTAGGATTTCTCTCACTCTACACATGTTCATGAACAGCAGCAATTGAACATAATCAAAATATTCAAAGCACGAGTAAATGACATACCACAAAAATCTGTAATCTTCCTTCTTTGGTGCGCATATAAAGCTGTTTCCAATGTCTCTCCAATTCAGCAACGGTGGATGTCTCATCTGAGGGCACCTCAACATGACCTTCCATGCTGACAAAGCGATTTCTTTTTGTTTCCACTCTCGGTTCATACGACACCTGGAAGTATGGGGATTAATGGATGAGGAATCGTAATGATAAGCTATAGAATGTTTCTCCTGCATTCTTCATGATATATGATAGTCACAGCAGCAATGGTTTGCTACTTAGAATAGGGAACCCCTCTCATCCCTATGGGAATGGGAATTTGGAAAAAAAAAATGGTGATGAAAGACAGCTTCAGCGATCGACCCGCGAAATGCCTCCATGCTTTGGCACTGGTCCGCATTCGCAGTGTAGCACTTTCGTTACTAATTACGTTTCGTTTCGAAGTGGCCACAAAGAGGCCACAGACGCGGACCTATTAGTGTCCTCTATTCTTTTCACTCTGCAAGACAACGACTTCGGCGCGGAACCATGTGCGTGCATTGCGTTGCCTGGAGCGTCGTAGGGCGATTTCCTACGCTCGGCGATGAGAGCTTGGTGACTCTTTTAGGTCAAGAACTGTTCTTCTTTCATAGGATACGTTTTTGAAAACAATACGTTAGTAGCTGTTGCTTCGCAAAGCGAGATGCGTTTGGACACTGCTTAAATTTAGCAGCGATGCGATCGATTTGGTGCAGAAGCTCGTCCTGCATTGCTTAACAGTCCTAATTTCATGCAGAGTACCGAAAGATTTTCTCCGATACTGTTTTTGTTTTCTTTTTCTGTTTTTAGATGAGATTTAGTACTAAAGGATGTGAAGAAACGACTCATGAGCTAGGGATTGCACAGAGGCCGCAGGGTGTCAAGTCGCCAGCAAGTTTGGAAAACTCGTACAATGAGGCAGTGTGACTGTCAGGAAGGGTTTCGTTGAGGTGTTCTCAATATATTTTTTGCCTCTTCCTCTACTAGAAAGTCACCTGTCGGCAGCTGGTTCACAACTGAACGCAGACTACTCGTAACACTGGTCGCAGGAATAGTCTGTAAGTCTTCCTCTGTGACCTTTCAAACGAACGCTGTCATTTTAACCAAACACTGTCATCTGTGCGCTCGTTAAAAAGTCAAGAGTAAACCGGTTCCCTGATTATTGACACATCTACAACAAAAATCATTTCCCGCAATGCATTTGGCGTGAACTTTCCAAAAAGAAGGAGTTCAGCCATAGACATTTCAGGAAATCAAATGATATCCAATTCTGAAAAACGTCTGTCAAGATAGGATTACCTCATACAGAGCTCGCACGAGTGCTCGCGGATTCCAATCTCTCAAGATGGCATTTTCTTCATTGATGATCTTCTCCGGATGAGGAAGACTGCCGTTGTGTGCATAACTCTCAATCTCGGGCATTTTCCTTTGTTGAGAGATATTCACGTAGTCGTATGTTTTGACGGGCCACGAACGACGGCCAGAACCGTTCCTTTGGAAAACTACCGGCTCCTGAAATGGTGTCAATCCAACTACTCATCAAACACATGAGTGAGCAGTAACAAAAATAACAAAGACATCTGGAAACGAGTTAAACTGGGACAGCTGACATTTCGCAAGATTTGGAAATGCGACGCAAAATTGGTCGAAAACACGAACTTGCTCCGTTTGCCCCGCCTCCACTGAAGCGTTTGCTGTTTCAGTCTGGTGGCCGTGAATGAACGACGAACTTTCTTGGCCACTGTGATCTCTAACGACGGAATGGCTTGATTCAGATGACTGTACGACGGTTGCACTTTCTCGTACTCTATAAAAATAACTAGTTTATGAAAAGACATATGTACACAAACAATGCTATCGAATGCAAAAACCCAACATTACTAATGTTGTTAAAATGTGGCGTTAATAGGAGATTGAGGATTCGTTCATACTTTGCGCCAGCGCTCTAAGCGTACGACGGCGTTTCGAACGTTTCAAGCGACTAGGAATGTATAGGTATCGTACAGAAGCGTTTCGAAGGCCTAGGAAAGTATGAATATCGATTAAGTTTTTTAAGCGTACGCCGAAGTTTTCAGCGACTGCGCGCGAAAATTCAAAGCTATCACTGAAACGCTCAAACGCCAGTAGACGCCCAAGGCGCTTGATCGATACCCATGCTTTCTTAGTCGCTCTGAACGCTCAAAAAGCTGACGCAAAGTGTGAATGCAGTCTAAGAGAAGGTAAGCGACTATTTACGATGACAGGATCTTCTATATCTAGTAGGAAACCAGCACATCAGCAAGGGAAACGTATAGTTACAAAGGGAGATAATCAAATAGTGAGAAAGATTTAATTGCTATGACAAAAGTCAGCGCTAAACGAGCACTTTCCCTTTGGGGATACGAAAATAACCTGCAGAATTAGGCATGACAAACACGTTCGCAAAGGTGAATGGGAAACCACGCCAGTGCGGTGATTCAATCAAATCGAAATTGCTCTTCTGTGGAGTCACGTGGTGACATCATCGGCAAAATTTCGCTCCAATGCCACGCACAGACTGCCAAAGGCACAGGGTACCGGACTACATTCAACATAATTTGGAAGCCTATAATGATGAGTGTTAACGATTAATCGTCTCATATCGATGTACCTTTTTTTGCTTTATCGTCTTCGCTACTAATCTGAATCAGGGACAAGCGTATGACGCGCAATCCACAACGTGGGAGCCATACCCGACCTAGTGACAGGGGTATGTGGGTATGTGATGGTAAGACCACGCGGCATCGCGTGCGACAAATTGCAAATACCTCATGATTACATCAAAAAGCGCGCTCGCGATGGTTTACCATGTAGTCTATGCGTGACAGTCTCCGAGAGTGGCTAGAAAGCACTTTCAAATGACTAGGGTTTAGCTAATCAGCTAAATCAACGCGGGAGATTGGGTGCTAACGTAGTTGGGAGGGGCCACGCGGCTCGCGGCGAGTGATGACTCATCGGCTCTTCACTCATTGACATACTTGGAGCGTTAATCTAGCAGCAAAATTAGAATAAAACAAACAAGATTCACCGAAACTTGCTGAGAAATCCCACAGAAGCTGAAAACAACAAATGTTTGATCTTTTATAGTCAAGAATCAACAAAAAGGCAACAATCGTTTGTAGTTTAGGCAAAATCTTCCAGCCTACAACTGTTTCTTCGCACTTTTCAGCCTTAACTGTTTTAGCTTTTGAATATAGCTAGGACGGTGTTATATCCATAAACATGAAATTACTTCTTTTTTGCCGAGGAGGAAGCAGAAGAGTCGATGAGTCATCACTCGCCGCGAGCCGCGTGGCCCCTCCCAACTACGTTAGCACCCATAATTGCTTGTGATCTCTCTGGCTTTTACAAATAAAACGAAATTTAACGTTCATGGCTCAGGTCCTTCAAGAGTGAAGAGCATGAATCGAAATTGAATCGAACACTATCTAATTCAATAAGAGCGCGTTCAGACTTCGCGATCGCGCGATCCGGATCGCGTGATTTGGATCGCGCGATCGCTGTGATCGCGCGATCCGGATCGCGCGATCGCTGTGATCGCGTGATTTGGATCGCGCGATCGCTGTGATCGCGCGATCTGGATCGCGCGATCGCGCTACTGTGGGTGAAATTACACCGGGAGGGGGTCATGTTCGTTCATGTTTATTGTTCCTGTTCTTTTTTTCCTTTTCCTTCTTTCTTCCTTTGTGTACATAACGCCCTCCTAATTTTAAGGAACGTTTCGAAATATCTTTGAGTTATTTATTATTTCCTATGTAAAATAGTACTAAATATACAATATGCTAATTATTATACTGAATTTTGCATCTGAGTACGTTCAAGCGGAGTATTGAACATCTTGTTCCAAAAGTAAGACACGCAGAACTTTCAACAGCGGGTGATGTTGTTTCTCTCCCTTCCCCCGATTTTGCCAGTCCTCCAGATATTCACTTTACTTTTGTCACATTGTGTTTGCTTTGTTTGTTCTGCCATCCTCCAGGTCTATACACAACCTTTCCTTTCGACGGTTTCTGCAAACGTCAGTATTGCGAATATGAACACGGAATAAAAGACATCAAAAAAGGTCGAACTACTTTTATATCGTTTTTGGAACTGCCTATTGGAGGCAGGATACAGCATCGTGATGTGAGAAATGGTGATATCAGTACGACTCCCCAGAACTTTGTTTGTTGTTTGTTGAGTTGAGTTGAACACGAACGAACATGACCCCTCCCGGTGTAATTTCACCCACAGTAGCGCGATCGCGCGATCCAAATCGCGCGATCACAGCGATCGCGCGATCGCGAAGTCTGAACGCGCTCTAAAGCAGTGACACGGTGGACCATGACCTGTAAGCGTCCCATTACAAGCATGTTTGCAGACTGCCGCGTGATCCTGAAGACCGCATCCCGGGAGGGGGTTGTACGTGCGGGTGGCAGTAATGAACAGATTAGTGGCAACGCTTGTAAGACACAACCATCGTTTCTTTATCTTATCATGGAGAGCGGTGCCTAGGTCGCAAGAGAATTCATAAGAAATTAAAAGGATAAAGTCTTCGCCGTTGATCAATCCCTTTGTGGGATGCGGCACGCATTCTACTTCCATTCAGAATCGTAGTGGCTTATTGAATGCGATGTGGCCTATACAATGACTTGCGGGGCCAGCCGATGTACAAGTCAGTGTTTTATCCTCCCAGACGAATCTGGTACCAATTTACCGTCCCCGGAGGGTAGAAGGCTTGGTTGGCCTGGGCGGGTGTCGACCCGGGATTCGAACCCGGCGCCGCGCGAGTGGTAAGGCATTGTTCACACTCTGCGGTCCAGCGTTTCTCTGAAACGCGGCGGTTCGGCGAAAAGCTTTCGATACATCGACTGGCGGTTGGGCGAAGAGCCTGGCGGTTGGGCGAAAGGGTTTTGGTACGTATCGACGGGCGTTTCGCCAAACCGCGACGTTTTTCGCCTTCGACAAAACGCTAGCTCCATCGCGGTGGCGTTTTTCGCCAGCGAAATCGATACACATCTACTGCTTTTCGCCCAACCGCGGCGGTTGGGCGGTTGGGCGATTCTCCGATCGATGACTATTTATTGCTTTTCTCCCAACCGCCGTTTCGTCAGGGCCTGGAGACTGTGAACAATGCCTAAGCGCGCCACTTGTCACTACACCACCTCCGCTTCCATAAGAAATTAACTGGGTGTAAATGTAACTAATGTAACTACACCATAGCGGGGAGTTAAGTTTATTCAAACAAGGTAACGAATGTGTCAGCTGCTTCAGAGAGTTGTTTCGTTAGTCCATGTTCTGAACTGTCACTACGACTTGAATTTAAGTCAAGTACATGGCGCATCTGACAGGTAGGCTGCCAAGCGCCTCTCTGATTATACTTCTATAACACGAGGGAGAGGCTTACTGGAAGCCTTTCCAAGGTTTCTAAATGGAAATTTGGGCGATGTAGTTGGTAAGGCGGGGGGGGGGGGGGGGGAGGGGTGGGGGAATTCCGAACCGATATTCGGGACGGGCGGAAATTTGCCTGCAGACCCGCAACAAATAATGTCATGGTTTTTGTGTAGAGAAAGTCTCTTTGTTTCTAAGTTCGTGTAGGCCTTTACACTTCTTCACGTCTAAACAAAGCTTGTGTCCATCCGAAAGGTCAAAAACCTGCTTTCATAAAATTTCCCGTTATTTCTGGCCCAAGCTATACGATTCCTTTGGAAGGGAGACGGACAAGAGAACTGCAAATTGCCGCACCGACGCACGTAGCGCACCCTCTGGCGATGAGCGTCGAAACTTCGATGGACGCGCGAAATTCAAATTTTGCGTCAGTTTCTTGATTGGAGCAGAGAAATAGGAGCGTGGCAATCGTTGCATACTTTACTTCACGTTTTTTGGCCATCTCCTACATCGCCCATCGCTGTCATAGCCGACTATATGGAGCATCGCCAGCATTATATGGAGCATCGACAGCACCCTTCCCCTCCCTTTAATATTCAAATTCGAATGCTTTCTTTGAGCAGGAGAATTCGTCTCTCGCGGCACGGCGTCGCTCGCGGCACGGCGTCGCTCGCCACGTCTGCCAGCGCGGCGAGCGACGCCTGCAATAAATCCTTGCGGATGAACTTATAGCCTTCTAAAGAAGGATGTGGATTGTTCGTGGCCTATACATCGCTCCTTTCCTGGGCCGAATACTTTAACGGCTCTATATAGAGCGGGGGTGGGGGAGAGGTCGCATGGACATCCCCTCCTGGCAAGGGTCTAGCGACCGGGGAATCTTCTGCGACGTAATGCCTGATCTTGGTCTGAATGAATAGAAAGAGCGCGATAACATCAGACATGTATCGAATGACATTGGGACATGGATGACCCAGTCCGCAGATGTCAAGTCAACCTAAATCTTCAGACTGAGATCAGAAAGATCGCCGCATGAAGTGAAGGCTTCTTGACAACATGAATCGTGGATTTACAAAGATCCGACATCATTGGCGACCGAGGAAAATGCTTGTCATCATTCAGAAACTGTCCTTGGGTAGAATTCCGCAATATTAGTAGAAGATTCAGTAAGTGAAAGCGAACAGCAGTTGCCGGTTGTTGCTCAGAAAATCAACTGGAAAAGATCCTGAATATTGTCTTGAAATATTTTGAGTAGATCTTTAGAAAAGTGAGGAAAAAAAAGTCGACGCACAAATAGTAGCTCGAGAGTGGGCAAGGGGCACCATAAGGCCGTGCACACAACTTGCAAAAGTAAAAAAAGGTATAATGCGCGCCAAAGGATTAGATGGAAATCAGTTGACTCCACCAACTAGCGAAGGGGAAACTCCACGAATCAGGAGAACGCACATTCCTCACCTTCGCTAAGAATAGACATGGCCTGAAAGCGACTAAAATTAGGAGTAACGCTGGGATGACGGTCAAGACAATCGCAAATTGCCGTTCCATCGCGCGCGGTGGGAGACGGAGCAATCGCAATTTGCCCCTCCGCCGCGCACAGCGATGGGCGCGGCGTTTTCTTAACCTGTCAACTGGAGCATCAGACTTCACGCGGGCTACGAAGGCTACTGTAGACATTTTTGACTATTTTCGGTTCTACACTGTCGCCATCTCCGACCTGGAACCATCGTCATTTGCGGGCGCGACGCCGCGCGTGACGCCCATCAGCGTGGCGATCTAAGATTCCGAATTTCATGTCGACAATGACATCGTAAACATTTGAGGCTAGGTTCAGTTATACACTGTCCCGGGAACATCGGCATTTGTGTGCGCGACGTCGCACGCGGCGCGTACCAACTTGACAAATTACGATTGTCTTGTCACATACCGTAACGCTGTGCAGTACAAAAAAAGGGACTTCGTCGACTGTTTGTAGATTTCTAGGAAAAAAACATACTCTATGGAGCAAGATGCTAGGATATGAAAACT